ACATCGCTGGTCTCTTAACTGATCCATGCATATATTTTTGCACACAAATTTGGTATGGCATAGTGACATGAGTTTTGTAAACCAATATATAATAACAGTTCGCTCTTTGCTTCTTACTTTCCACTTGCTTGCTTGAGTGAGACAGAGTCTTACTATGCAGCCCACACTGACCTCAAACTCATGACAACCCTCCTGACTTAGCCTTCTGGTGCCATGATCATGGTTCTGCCTCACCACACTGGCTCAACAGCAGTGCTCTTCAGCAGACCTGGCTGAATTCTCTCGCTGAAATCATCACGCTCTGATTGCATGCTGTCCAGAGCTCACACGGAAGTCAGCATCTATCTTTATCATCGTTGCTCATCAATAATCCTGCACATCGAATGTCCGCTCCCTGTTACTGCGTGGGTAACACAGAAAGAAACAAACATTAGTAAGTCAAATTTCCATCCTGGTGTGGGCTTAGTGCCTTTTGACCTTGCCAGATAGCCTTCTGGAAAAAAGTGCTCATCGGCAGTGTGGTTTTTCACACCATTCAGACAGGCTTCCATTCCCACCCCCACCTCCATGAACACCTGAGACATTTCAGCTCAGCTGTGTCTCTGGGTGACACATAACATGACTGGCCATTCTTCTTCAACGTCTTTGTCTTCATAAGACCACATTATCGTCTATCTTCCTGAGTCTCCGTGTTTTCCACCTCCATTCTCCTTTTCTCTTCGCCTGCCTGACCTTCCAAAGTCCCCAAGGACTTTTGTTTTTGTCGTTGTTTACTTTTGAGACAGTGCTTCAAGCTTGAGACCCTTTTACTTCAGCCTCTTTGCTTACAGACACATAGCATGACAGCCAGTCCCAAGAGTTTAAAATGACTTAGACATTTTTCACTCCTTTTTTAAATAGTAAAAAAAAATTACACATATTTTAAAATTAGGTATACCTTGCCAAGTACTGTGGCTCACAGCTTAAGGCCCAGCACTTGGGAGGCAGAGTAGGAGGATCTCTGTGAGTTTGAGGTCAGTTTGTCTACATAGAGAGTTCCAGGGTGGCCAGAGCTACATACTGAGACCCTGCCTTGAAAATAAAACAAAACAAAAATGAGGTATACCAACTGCTTAGAAAATACAGCAGCCAGTTCTTTGTAAGACTAACCATGATTGGTTTGAGCTATAGCTTGTTTTATTTCTAGACATCTAAATGCCCCTGCATCAGTCATTCTCAAAGTATGGTTTATAGAATCCTGAGTTACCTGGGAGTGATTCAAACGGAACATTCTTGGGCCCCACCTCAAAACCTACTGAATCAGCAACCCGCGGTCTACTCAGGGCTCCAGAGGCTTCTAGAGATGCTAGCCTCTGAGATCCATTACTCTACATCACACACCCTTCTTAAGTGAGGTGTCAGGTAAATAGGATAACTAAAAAGGAGGTAGCTGTGGGCTGCTGCACTGCATTTGTGGATCCTCTACCTCTATCTAAAACTCCATCTAATGGGAAGAGTAAAACGGGGTAGACACAGAAGAGCCCGTCCAAACTGCCTCTTATAAGAAGTGACAGTTGAGTCAGGCTGCCATCAGAGCTGTCCTAAAATGATTGCTTGCCTAGTGATGTCCTCAGTATGGCAGGGGGTGGGGAGGGTGGGGGGATGGGGGTGGGGAGGGTGGGGGGGTGGGGGTGGGGGGTGTTCATCTGTGCCGTCACAGAAATCCCGCATGTCCAATTTACTGATGTTTCTTAGGCTTCTTGGTTTTGTGGTCACATTGCACACAATAGGCAGCGTGGAAAGCTGTCAGGAGACCCCGTGCTAACAGATGAAAGGGGGGGCCTCTTAAGAAGCTGCTGCCCTCGTAGGAACAGACAGTAGGATGATCCTCACATCCATCCATCTACCCACGCAGCCACCCCTCCACCTAACCCATCCCTCCAGGCTTCCATTTGTCCATCTGCCTGTCGATACTTCTCCACATCTATCATCTACCCATCTGTTTATTCATCTATCCATTGCGGAAGCACTAATCCTTTTTATCAGGTTAATTTTTCTCTAATGCCAACTCTTATTAGACACCACTGACCTATGGCATTTTCTTTTTTCCCTAGTGCATCCAAGAATGGCCTATTGGAATATAGCAAGAAATTCTCAGAACTTCTATTTATATTTCTAATCTCATCCTTTTAAAAATAATTCTAGCCTGAGTTCTTGTTTTATGATGAATAAATGTAATATACTAATATTATAGTGTGTATATAGTTATCAGGTGTGTGCTTAAAAACTGCAACAAAAGCATATTCAATTAGGACCATGGAGAACACAAAGATTTTAGAGACCCCCACTATACAGAATTAGCCAAAAGACTACAGAGCAACTTGGGATAGATGAATTCTAGCATATGTGGTAAGGGTCGTGACTCTGGGACCTCAGAAAACATGCTGAAGTTAAAGTCAACAAGTTCACTCTTTTTGTTGTTGTTGTTTGTTTCTTGAGACAGGGTTTCTCTGTGTAGCCCTGGCTACTCTGGAACTCACTTTGTAGCCCAGGCTGGCCTTGAACACTCAGAGATCCCCCTGCCTCTGTCTCCCAAGTGCCAGGATTAAAGGCGTGAGCCACCACATCCAGCTGACAAGTCCACTCCCATTTGATTTGATTTTCTAGGGTCACACTGAAGGTTACTACAAAGCCAGGAGCAAAGGGCTGTCCTGTCCGGTCTAGGGCCCACTCCACTGTCTACACCTCAAAGAGTACTGTGGGCTTAGACTTCAAGCCAAAACGTAACCTGAGCCCTCTACTCCCTAAGTGAATAGCATGAAACTTTGTTGATACAGGTGATAGTGCAGATTTTCAGTGTTTTTTTTTAAACTTAGTAAGACTATAAAGATCCTTTTTAAATATAACTTTGTATCTAACTGACACCTAGTGTCTACTACTTAAAAAAAAACTGAATTTTTTAAATATGTAGATGTTCTTTCCCCACTATGGTATCAATTCACTTCAAATGCTTTTGTAACTTGTCCACAAGGCTGAGTCACATGTACCATTCCGGGTCGTGGTACTCGCAAGCTTCAGTGTGAAGGGTTCTCTCTTTTTCCAGTGGCACTGGATGGTCCGCTGCTGTCCTCATTTTAAAAGGTACATCGGCTTTCAAAAATGTTAGGAAATAAACGAAAACAAAATGCTAATGTTGATTATGAGTAAGAACAGGAACAGACGGAGAAAGTAAAAGAAGTGGAGATGGGTCGACATTTGCAGATCTGTAACCTCCAGGAAGTTAACAGCCGAGTGATACAGTTATTTGGGATTTCCTTCCAGAACCTGGAATCAGGAACAATGGCTGTTTTGTGGAAATTTTTCTACCTTCAAAGAAGGAACAAAAAAGTAAAACAACAACAAAGCAAGGTATGTGCTGAGTTTGGTATCTGAAAGACAGTGAAAGAGCCGCCATGTCACAACCTAGAGTCCACTGTTCCAGGCCTTCACTCTACATCCAACTTAATATACCAAAATCTGATTCTTATTGTTTTTTAATAGAAGGAGAGACAGAGACACAGAGACAAACAGAGAAAGGTTTAAAAAAAAGAAGGAAGAAAAGAAGTAAATAAAACTCGGTAAAATGGACGCTTATATAGGGACCCACATTTCAAGAGGGTCATAGTCTGAGTACAGCAAAGATATGGACAAAGACAGAAAGGTTCTGTCCCCTATGTTGATAGGAGAAACGCTTCTGTAGCATAAAATTCCAAGGAAGGACTTATCCTTTAGTGTGAATTAGCTCTCATATTTGTTGAGTAAAATTGAAAAGAAATCAGACGATGTGGAACAGCTATGCCATTTTTATTGGACAATAATAAATTGTTCTTCAACAAACAAAAAAACCCAACAGCTACATCTGCTTACATTCAAGGATCTTCTGTACATTCACAACTCTGTTGACAAACTTCGAGAATAAAATATAAGTAAATAATGAAATAATTCTTAAATAAGTTCTTCACTACAAATAAAATACTTTTGCAAATATTTCCCAGCATCACCTGGTACAACAGTCCTTTTTGTGCTAAGGTCCACATATGTGTGACCCCGATTCCATTCATCTATCAAGTTGGAAAGAACACAAAATGAAAATGAAATGTATCTTAAAGTCAACATATTTCGTGATGAAAAACTGTCTTTTCCCAAACTGTCTAAAAAGTTGTTTTCTGGTTTAAATTTAAATTTCACCCAAGATTTAGCATTATTTTTTTTATTTCAATATTTTATAAACTTACAGTAACTACATTTTTATCAATATTAATGTAATCATTAGTAACATGTTTTCCATATATGGGTATTTGAGAACCATATATGTTATATACCTTTTTCCCTAATCATTTTAAACAAGTAACAATAGGGTAATTTCTCTAATATATGGAAGAAATACGGGTGTTGAGAAATATTTAAGCTAACAGATTTGTCTATAAAAATACATAAATATTCACCTTCACCCTGTTCCATGCCCCAGGAGGCAAGCTACTTCCTAAATTTGTCTCAAGGTCCACAGTGCTTAAACCAGAAGTGGGAGTATGTATTCGTCCTTGGTCCAACCCCGCCCCCATCAGGTGCAGGTAGCTGTAACAAGAGCATTTCCACTCAGGGCAGTTGCTCAGACTCCCGTGAGCTTCCAATATCTCACTTCCTTTAAGGCTTTTCTGATCTTGTTTCCCCAAATTAAAACAAACTAATCAATTTTAAGCTACCACAAGGAAGAGCCAAAGGTTATAATCCCCTACTTTCACTACCATCCCCATCCTCTCTGGCTCCTTGCTCTTTCTTCAACCTGTATCTCAACAAGAGTGTACACCCAAGTCGAAGAACCCATGGTTTCTCCAGCTTTGATCAGACTACTCACTGACCATAAGACCATCTTATAAGACCATCTTAACTGCATGTTTAGTTCCTTAGTAATCTCTCTCTCTCTCTCTCTCTCTCTCTCTCTCTCTCTCTCTCTCTCTCACACACACACACACACACACACACACACACACACACACACACACACACACCAGATCTATATGCATTTAAATATTTAACAAAAAGTGTTCAGTCATATGTGTTTTATGGGTTGTATATAGCCTACATTTTTTTTCTGGATCCACTCTGAATCACACTTGATCTCCATAAATTACATGTTCATAGTCTATGCTCTAGACAGTTCTTAAAATGTTGGCTGAACGTTGGTCATTAAAGTGGAGCCATCTCTTGGCACACCCCAGCCAGGATCAGCGTGGATTTAACCATTTCATTACAGAGGGCCGAGCAGCATTCCCTTCAACGAGCTCTTCCCTCCCAGCATTGCCGTCCCCAGATGCTGCTTCACGATCTGAAATCAAAAGGCATACATATCATGTCCAGACGTCTGTAAGTCAAAGATCAGGTGTGGATTTATTTTATTTTGGTTTTGTCTTTTAATGAAATTTAAAATAAATCTCTGATTGAGAATTCTCTGCTAACTCTACTGAACATCTCTGAACTGACACTCTTTGCAACATTTCTGTCTGTATACCCACGCTCACCTACCCTTATGGTATACATGTAGCTCTCCTGTCCCCGACATCATCTCACTCTGTTCCTAGAATTCCAGCTTCAGAAAAGCAGGACCTTCTTTCATCTGCTGTTTCTTCCACTTGCCCACCTGTATCCCCAGCATGGATAGCAACGCTTGGAACATGATAGATGCTTAATACATACCCAGTGTACGACCAAATGCTGCAAGAACAGATCTCTAAAAAGGGTTTTTATAATCACTGGCACAAAAAAAATTAATTAACATTCTGGTATGACTTCAGAAGACAGCTGTCTCACCCATTCTTTGTACAAGAAAGGTTTATAAGATTTAGAATCTTCTAAAGTGAAACATTTTGCTTCTAAAAGGAGTGAGACATGCTTGTGTCCACAGTGTACATCCTAAAATAGAATGGTGCAACGTTAATGTGGCTCGGCAGACAAATGGGTATAGAGCATTCTTAGGCCTCACCTAGCTCACTAAAAAAAAAATGGGACTCATGGATTTCTGTTCTTGGACACTGACTGCCAAAAATAAAAAATAAAAATTTAGAACTGAGGCAGGTAGGATCAGGAAGCCCACCTGTCAAGAGAGCTATTGCCATCAGCAGGTAGCAAGGAGAAGAAGACCCCATGCAGTTGGGAGAACCTATGATGGTGGATCTGATGGTCAAGCCATCTGCTCTCAAAGCGTGGGATCAGATGGGTTTGTGTGGTGGTAATGTGAAGCCCACAGCAGAGCTGAGGAGCCGTGTTCTTCCCTGGAGACTCCAGCACACAGACAGGCAAATCCCCTGTAGACAAGGCACAGGCACACAGGGCAGCCTGTCTGTATTTTTCAGACGTTCTTCACTCCCTCTTGAACCTGAGGTTGACTAAGATGACATGAAGAAAAGTCTTTGAAATATCATGGATCCAAAGAGAAAGAACACCAACTGCTTTTCTTTTACATTTCCAGGAAGAACCTCCATGCTTAGTTTGGGTTAGTGTGTAGCTTAACACATAATGACCATCAGTAATACAGTATCTTTCTAAGACTTCTTTAGAATAGCCAAGATATCAACACCATTCGCAGATAAACGAGAGAGTGTTGCAAACGCCTGTGAAAGAGCCTGCACAGCTAAAGGGAAGCTGCCAGCGGGTCGCAGCAGGAGGGACTTGGGTAGGCTATCTATAGTTCCCATCAGGTAGACTGCTGCAAGCAGCCATCACTGGCTCCCAGAGCCATTGAAGGGTCCCAACAGAGTGGTGGAGGTGGAACTCATCCAGTGTACACAAAGCCTTGGCTTCAGTCTCCAAGACAACAAAAATCAACCAAACCAAACAAAAACAACACAGATAGGCAGTAGAATCAAATGCTGCCCTGTGAGAAAGATTTAGGTGCAAACTTAAGTGAAGAAGTTTGTGTAAATTGTTGCTTCACAGTTCTTTGTAACCTGTGGTTTTAAGAAAGCAAAGCAAGCGTCAGGCAAGGTGGCACAGGCCCAAATCCCAGCACTCAGGAGGGAGAGGCATATATTACTATGAGTTTGAGGCCAGCCTGGTCTACATAGTATCCCTGGTCAACCAAGGCGACATAGTGAGACTCTGACTTAATTTTTAAAAAGAAAAAGAAGAGATAAAAGAAGCTAAAAATGTTTGAGGTGGCTAGGTAAACTGAGAAAATAGATCTCAAATGTGTTCTGTAAGCGGCTCCTTTGAAGCCTTTCCAGATGTGAGAGACAGCTTGGTGGTCTCCATTGATAGTTTCCAGGTACCGGGAGGATGTGAGGAAGAGGGAAACCAGTGAGTACTGGGCTAATCAAAAGGTTCTGGAGCTGGATGGAGGCTGTGGTTATGCAATACTAGTTATGCTGAGGACGCTGATGGAATTGTCTTCAAATGTTATATGAAAATCTCATCAACAGCTAATCAAGTCTTACGCCCCACACTTTTGCTTTGTCAAAGACAACAGAGGTAAGTCACATGATTTTATCTGTTGTCTCAGTTTCCAGATGAACTGTCCACAAAGACATGCATCTATAAGTTAAGATTTAACATATAAGACTGGAGTCGTACTTAAAACTACCAATTGACTTGTCTGAAGATGGTAACAGAAGAAATAAGCATATTTGCTGAATTTCACACTTTAATTTATTTTAAGGGCAAAGGGCCAGAAATACAACCTAAATAAAATGGATTTGGATGACTGTTTTCTGTCTGGAGGAGGTAGAGTTTATTGATATTAATAAGCAGCAGCTGTGGCTAAATTTTGAGGGTTTAAGAGTGAAGTTTTTTTCTTTTCTTCAAATGACCCCTTATAAGGTTACAAGGTTGTGACTCTGTGCAGTCACAACCTTGCCTTTTAATTTTATTTTTAGCTATGGATGGAGGGTTATGAGTATTTTGCCTGCAGAAGCAAGAGCTCCTCTGGAGCTGAAGTTACAGGTGGTTATGAGATGCTTGAGGTGGGTGCTGGGGATTGAACTCGGGTTCTCTGGAAGAGCAGTGCAGTCTGTTCATCATTGGCCATCTCTGAGTGCGGGAGGGGCTGTTAATTACTTAATTTTTAAGCATGATAGATAGATAGATAGATAGATAGATAGATAGATAGATAGATAGATAGAGATATGGATATAATTTGATTGTAAAATGATTAAATAAAGCCAGTTAACATATCCATCACCTCACACATTTACAACTTTCATATTTTAAATCTATTATTTTAATAATTTTGAAGCATGTAACACATTATCATTACCATTCTATTCACTGGCGGAATAAGATCTCATGACAAAAGCTACCTCATGTATTGATTTCTTTTGGTACGGTCATGTTAAATGAGTTCCGTTTACCTTAACAGAGTCCCATGTGCTTGGCCACTTAACAAGATAAGCAGATGAGAGCATAGAACCACCTCAGAGCAGTGCTCGGCTCACAGCAGCACAGCCTGGACCAGTCAGCAGCGTGTAAGCTCCGGTTTTCCTAGTCCCTGGATCTCACTACGGGGATTAATTCTTACCAGCTTCAAAATCCATAAAAACACAATTATTCCATTTTATTGTTTCCATTTGATGAAGGAGGAGGAGGGAGGAGGAGAGGGAAGGTGGGCAGAGGACAGAGAGGAGAAGAAATGGTCTGTAGTTTTTATCGTGGCTCTTAAAGCTGGTCCAACAAATACCTCACTGCTCTCTTTCTATGTGGAGTTGGGAGAGAAATAGTTTTGTCTAGAGAGTCTATAAATACAGATCACTAAAGAGTTCCAAGAACTTTGCATATCTTGGTCAGTTGCTTTCTATGACAGATTTGTTTTCGGTAATTCATTAAAACGTAGTAAACTTTATGAGAACCCATAGTATCCTCAGAATTATCAATGAGATTTGTTTTGAAAATAGCAACAGCAACCAAACTCAACAATCTTTCCCCTGAGGAAAACAAAGAAACAAGCTCATTCAGACAGACCCCATATTCTACTCACTGGTTTTTACATTGATTCACACTGAAACCAAGATCACCACTTACCTGTGTGAGAGGAAGCAGTCCTGCTGGGTGACTTGGCTGCTGCATACTGGAAGAAGGGAAATTCCAGACACCTCCCGGTCACCCTGTCACAGATGCCCGACTGGCAATTGCAAATCTCTTTGCATTCCATCCCAAAAGTGCCATAGGGACAGTCTGAGGGCAGAGTAAGGGTTCAGAGAGATCGCTGCTTAAGCTTTAAGATAGCTGCTTGTTAAGCGTAGGCTCCCTCCTCCCAGCCTTAGGATTTGAATCAATCTCCTGGACTTGGACTGATAAATGGAAATTATCAGTCCAGGGTTTGAAAGTTGAAAGTTGAAGTCATAAATGTGAAAACACATAGTAAGGCCAGATAACACCTGCCTCAGGCTTAAGCTCCTGATACAAAACTTAAATTAGCTACACGTAACCAATCTCCTTATCCTCTCTTTCTTTAGTTATTTATTTGTTCTCTCTCTGTGTGTGTGTGTGTGTGTGCATGCGTGTGTGCAGGCATGTATGTATGCATGTGTGTGTGTAAGTGCAACTGTGTTCGTGTGTTCACGTGTTCATGTGTGCCTCTATGTGTGTGTGCATGTGCATGTGCATGTGTGTGTGTGTGTGTGTGTGTGTGTGTGCGCGCGCGCGCAGCACATGTGTGGAAATCAGAGCACGACTTGTTGAGTTGGTTCTCTCCTTCTACTGCGGGCCATGGGACTCACACTCAGGACTGACAGCAGGTGCCCTTACCCACTGCAGCTTCTTGCCAGCCCCACCCTTGGAGCAATCTTAACTCTATTTGTTCTCTGCGTAGATAACACAGATTCTCACAGGTTATCTTGGTCACAGCTCAGTGAAGATGGGAGATTAAAGAGACATAACATTACCTCCTCAAATAATTGGATAGGTGTGGCGTGTCTAATCTACAGTCGTTGACAGTTTACCATTTGAAGGGCTAAGAGACGCATCAGCGGACTGTGAAATAACCAGTCCCCAGTCTGCTCCCACACTCACAAAGTTCCTTCTCTCTCAGAACAGCTCTAGGCGTTCACTAACTCCCCCAGCTGTTAAAAGGATTCACTAATCAAGGTCCCTGAAAAGATAAGATGCTAAGAGAGCAAGAAACCTCGGGGCTTACACTCCTGAGAGATTGCACATCTACCAAGAACCGAAGCTTTCAGAGCTTCAGCGTTTAATACTTAGACTAAGAAATGCTACAACAAAATAAAGAAGTCTGTCACGGATTAAAAGAGCAGGGTTTGTGGCTTAACAGTATCTCAAGAGGTAAACTCAGCAGCATCGGTATAGAACACTGGTTCTCAACCTGTGGGTCATGACCCCTTTGGCAAACCTCTATTTCCAAAAATATTTGCATTGCGATTCATAACAGCAGCAAAATTACAGTTATGAAAGTAGCAACAAAAATAATTTTATGGTTGGGGGGGTCACCACACCATGAGGAACTGTGTTAAAGGATTGCAGCATTAGGGAAGTTGAGAACCACTGGTAGAAGATGTATTCTTTCAGCATGGACATGTCCTTGCTAATGTACAATCACACAAGCATAAAGACATGTTGTTAGCCACCCAGCAATGCACTGGATGATCAAGATGGATGTGCATTGAGTAGGTCTTTAAGGACACAGCACTGCTCTTTCCCGTCACTCAAAGGATAGAGGGCTCTGCTGCTACAGGCCCTCCTTACCCTGGGAAGAAAAGTCCTTAAGACAGATCTGGAAAACACGTCTGGCAGAAAAACACAGGATTAGGATGTGACTGTCTTTGGGGATGCTGAAAATGAAAACCTCAGCCCACTTGCCAGTTTCAGGTCCAGGGTGATCCATATGTGCTGAGTGCTGATCAGATAGTAAACATTCTGTAAATAAATGTTGGCTGCCCAATAGCTAGCCAGCAACATGGGGTCAAGCACCTAAATGCTAAACAAACAAACAAACAAAAATCTGAAATTCACCTGCAGCAATGGAGAACCACCCACCCACTCTGTTATTTCCAGCAGTGAAAAAACAGTTCGAAACTGAACTCACCAGTCATGCAGAGGATGCCAGAAAGAGAGGCTCAAAATAGATTGTTAACAGCATAGTTCACTAACCTCTGCCCCACAGCTGGATTCTTTACCCCATGCCACTGTCCGTTCATAACCACATTTCCAAAGGTGTTTTTATGGCAAAGGAAAAGCGGTTACCCCACATATGCTCACTATATCATAGCCGGGACTGGGTTAGCCACCTCCTCCCTAATTTCCTCATGTGAAGTGCTGTTTTCTTAGCAGATAAGCCCTGTGATTTCCAGAAAATAGAGTCTATACAGTTGAAAGAAATGTAATATGTGTGTTCACCAAAGAGAGTATTTCCTCAGCAGCCCACCTCTTGTCAGTTTTAGTCAAAAATAATATAAGCCAAAGAATAAAATTTTCCAATTTTTTTCTACAATTTCTTTAGAAAAGATTTTGCAGACTAAAAGATCATTAATTTATGAACTATTTTCTAAAATGAGAATTAATGAGGTTGTCCCAAGTTTGGATGATTGTCATTCAGGCAAGGATGTAATTGTGTTTAGTACAGAGACTATGAGTTATTTAGAAATTTCTCAGAACTTATTTTTTTTTAATTTTAGCAGCTTCTTTGTATTATACAACTGGATTGAAGTTCTAGAATGTATTGCCTTTTAATCACAATAGCATGTAATGGTGGGATTATATGGCATCTATGTATGGGAGACTTTTAATAACCACTTCTTTTATTTTTATACATTCAAAAATATTAATTTAGTCACTAAGTTTGAAAATAAGTTTCACAGATACATCAATGAATCATTTAATTGTGGTTTCTGTCTTAATTATAATTTCTTTTTTAAAACTCTATAAAAACAGCCACTTTTTTTTAAACAGACTTTTAAACTTCCATTATTTCTGCTTGTCTTACAACATCTGCTATTTTCTGGCCAACTGAAAATTTTTTTAAGTTAAATTAGATTTATTTTATACTTCAGGAGACCCTCTTGCAAGAACGTGAGTTATTTCGTTGGCTGACTTAAGCCCACCCTATGCCATAAAGTACATTAGTGATCATCAGAAATATTTGAACTTGAGGCACTCCTCCCTGTGAACTCTTTCAAGATCAAAGGCTGGTAAAATCTGAGGCTAGAAACCACTCTAAGAGGTTATCTCTGGAGGACCTCTGTAATCGTTGCCTTGCAGGGGAAAGGACACCTAACGCATTTGTAGCAGACTACCTGTCAAGTTTCTAAAGCCTTCCAGAAAAGGAAACCGCACCAGCTACTTTCTCGAATCTAAATGCAGAGTGGAATGTTGCAACCCTTGCTGTGATTCCTGCACACTGCTTTCCAAACCTCTCTGCAGGTATGCTTCTCTCTCTACCAAACACACCACCTGCATCCATGCATCCTCCCTGGTAGTTCAGAGGAGGAAAGAGGAGAAACGGAGGATCTCCGGAGCTGACTAAATGCCCTGAGGGAGCCCTGCACAGTGGGAAGCAAGGAGTTGTTCTTTACCTTTGCAGATACCAAACTCGTCACCAAAATCGTCCTCTTCACTGTAAAAGTGACACTTCAGCCCCGGACCGCACTTGACGCCATCCATGCCTGAGACTGTACGGTAGCAGGTTTCTCCGGGCCCCGCAGCGCACACCTGACAGCAGCCACAGTCATCCAGCACTGTCCTCTTGCAACGCAGGCTGCTTCTGCACTCACTATTGTCGCACTGTTCCGGGCAATCCACCGCATACTTGGCGCTCCAGGCCATAGCCAGGTGCACAGGTACCAGGAGTGTGGTCAGCAGCAAGAGGCTCTTCATGTCTTCCAGCTGGCTCCGGCTCAGCTCCCTGCCGTCGCGGTCTTTGCTGGCGGGAAGCAGCCGTCCAAAGTAGTAGCTGAGCTTCTGCCTACACGTTTATGAGTTTTATACACTGTGTTGCCCGCATGCTTCCCCGTCATCAATTTCCTCAACCCAGCGGCAGCGCTGAGCTCCTGCCAGCCTCTCTTGTTTTAGTTTATGAAATCCAGGATGAAGGCTGGATTAACACGCCGCTGCCATCCAGGAATTGAAAAGCCCAAGCTGATGTCATCTGTTATGTTTAGATGGTTGTTTTGCATGAGGGCTGAAAACCTCCACTCACATCCGTCTCAAGGACTCAAGGACGTCTGCGAAGGGGGAATAAAGAAGGTTGTATAGCCCCCTTCTGCACAGGAATTGCGCTGACACCAACACAACACTTAGGATGTAGCTTTGTCCCAGTGTCCCTTCGTCTGGAGGAGACTGATACAGACATGAATCAAGCCAGAAGAAGTGTCTATCAAATAATAATAAGTACTTGGTATTTTTCCTTAATAAATAACTATGAGATCATTTGGAAGAAGAAACGGTTATATTGTGCTTTTTCAAGACTTAGAAGAAAGAAAATATTTGGATAGAGGGCTTTTAAAGATTTCTTCCTTCCTCACACGCTCCTCCTGGGTTGTTATTTCTAAAGCAATTTATGCTGTCCATATTATGCTGTCTATCATGGCTATCGCTGTGTTTAGCTAGATGTGTGTGCAACAGCTAAGCATTTTCTTTAATCAATACAAAAAAATAAGAAGTAAGGTTGTCCTGGCATTGTCTCTGAATTACTCAGTTCTGGAAAAACTTATCAGTTGGACTGCTCCTGACCCAAACTCCCTGGGGAGAAAACTCATCCATCACTGAGTCTGTTTGTCCAGTGACTGCATCCATTCAGTCCTTCCGCTCACCTCCTGGCATCTCTCAGAGCTTTTGCTTCAAACCACCAAACAAGGCACTGAGCCCAAAGAAACAAGTGAGCCAGCAGGGAAATAGGAACTCAGCTCGAGCAAGGCAAGGCATGGGGAAGGGAAAACATTACCCACCAGGAAACAGGGTCTTTCTGCCGTGGAGGGACACAGAGTGTAGCCCCAGCAAGGAAAACAATAGCCCTCTTAAAGTATTGGCTGGACCAGGGCCCTCAGAAGCAAGGTTTGTGTAACAGAGGATGCAAGATGTCAGGGAAGACAGAGAAGGCCTCACATTAACTGTATGTTCAGATTTAAGCTTCCACCCCATTTGTCAGCATAGAAATAAAGCCACTGTCACTTGGCAAAGAAGTGACCCAGTGAAGTGGGTAACTCCTGTCTGTCACAAAGTGACCCTGGGGCATCCACAGGACCCCTCTTCCTCTGTTGAGAGCTGGTGGTGTTAGAGTGTCTGACCTCTGAAAGTCATGTGCCCTCTAAAAGACGAGCCATCGAAGCCACAGGATGTGACCTGATGATTAGGCTTTGCTAGGGTACATTTGGGGAAACGGAGGCAACAGAAACAAAAATTCAAGGAATTGGGGAAGTGGGAAATGAAGGCAATACTCTTACCTCCCAGACTTCCCAGAATTTTCATGATAATCTAACTTGAAATACTCTATGCTCATCTCTCCTGGAGCAAACATGTACTTAGCAGGTGAGACACTCTTTCTTTGTGATAGTAGGTAAGGTCTATTGAGCACACAACATGTGCCAAGTACTGTTCTTTGTGTACATATAGATTATAAAAAGTAATTCATTAAGTAATTAATTACACAAACTAATCCATTTTGACATTTCCATACATGTAATCATATTAAACCCTTTGATTGTCCAACCTTTAAAGGTTTTTTATTAATTAATTTCTTAATCATTCCTCCACTTAACTCCTCCCAAATCCACCCAAAGTAAGCCACTGACTCCAATATGTGCTGCCCATATACTCATAGTTATGGGACCATCCCCTGGACCCTGGTCAACCTACCAGGGGCCACACCCTTAAAGAAAACTAACCCTCCTCTTCCATGTCAGCAATTGTCAGTAGCTTCTCAGCTACAGGAGGGGTAGGGACTCATGAGCCTGCCTTCCCTCCATATTGGAAGGTCGACTGGCTTGATCTTGTGCGGGCAACCGTAGCTGCCGAGTTCAAGTGCGGAGGTCCTGTCATGTCCAGAACACACTGTTTCCTCCCAGACTCCTGACTCTCACAATCATTCTGTCCTGTCCCCTTGTCCACAGTTGTCCCTGATCCTTGGGGGTGCTGGGGCGAGGTATATACTTCCTGTTTGTGGCTAAGTATTCCACAGACACCTCTTCTCTGCTCTTTGACCTTTTGTGAGTTTCTGCATTAACCGCTGTCCACTACACGGAGAGAATCTCTGCTGAGGTCTGAGCAGCACATGAATCTATGGGTTCTATCACCCTTGTTTATTCTTCCTTCTGGTCTCCCTTTTCCATCCCATATGCCCAATAGCCATCCATTTACTTTTATTTCTTTGTTCTTACATTTCACATGGACTTGTCTCTGTGAGGCTGTCAAAGTGATGCTCTTAAATGTTTCTCTCTCTCTTTTTTTAGTTTGTTCTTCCTTTATTGTCCTTTGTGTTCAGTTTCAATAGCAACAGTTTCATGTGTTTTGCTATAGTCTGAAATGTTTCCCTTTTTTCATTAACTCCTGTCATCCACTCACAAAAACCTTATGAAGCTACTACTGATACCATGTCTCACTTTTTGAATGAAGAAACAGATAAAAAAAAAAAAGATTAAATAATTTGCCCACGGCTTCTCTACTGTCAGAGGTCGACTAGAATCATCTTAGTCTAAGGTCAGAGTCATCCTGTTGCTCATTACAACCCAATTGTGCTTCAACGGACAATGATGCCAATGGTCTGGCTCGTGATTTAAGCTGTCTCCTGTTCAGGGTTTGTTAAACATCACTTTCTGAGAAAACAGTGGTTAACTGGAAGTGTGGTAAATAATGCCTGATCTTTATAAAGATCTTACTATGGGCCAGACTAAGCTAAGCACTTCATTCAGGTTACCACATTTAGCCTTCAAAACAATGGGGAACTAGGTATTATTCATACCCCCATCCTAGAGATGAGAAAACAGATGCCTGGAGAGGTTAAGTAATTGGTCTAACATCACACAGTAAATAATTAAGTCAGGATTACATCCCTAAGACCAATGGGCTCTGAAGACTAGAATACAAACTCCCAAAACAAATACATACAGGTGACAAAAAAGTGACCCAGGTGGGTGAAGTACTGGGCTGTGCCGGTATAAGTCACAGAGAGGACACTTTCCACCTGAAGACCATACAAATCGCTCATACTTTCCATGTAAGACAAAGGAAGACCAAAATGATACCACGTTTGGTAAATGCACTGGACAGAGAGAAAGTGTACCTTAAGGGCACCAAATCCACAACACTACGGCAAACACAGTCCACAGAAGAGAGCAGAAAATAAGATTGACAGAGTTCATCAATGATGAAACTATCTCAAGGCAGAAAACCTAACCATTTATTTGGGGGAAATTATCATCACTTGCTTCAAAGACTCCACAAAACCCCATTTTGTCCCAGCAATCCTGGTGGGATTTTTATATTTCTAACTTCTCCAACTTTTCAAGTAGGGAAGTTACCAACGAACTCAAAGTCGGTTAGGAGATCACAGCATCACTAATCAAGAAACCAACTTTAATCTTCAGTCAGCAGAGAGAAATGGAGGGTAAAGGTGGGGCTGTGATGGAGTACCTGAGGTCTGCCTGCCTGACCGGCTTTGTGCTGGCGTCTGGCACATCCTAACCCTGCTCAGCCTGGGCAACAGTTGGCAATGAGCAAGAAGGGACAAACTCTCACCGCTCTGAAAATGCAAGTTCAAGTTACAATGGGTCTGTTCAAATCACCTCTGGATCCAAAGGCTATGGTGAGTGGTCTTCCAGAAGAGAACAGAGAAATGATTCGACCAGAGAGCTTGTCAGCCCAGGACATCCTGAACACTTCACTGTGACTCTTTCCTTGAACTCACCACCCTAACCAAGAAAACACATCGACATAGTATGCACTGACAATTTGTGTGTTATTTTCTATGTAATGATTGCTTGTAATAAGATACCAGGGCTTTCTTTCTGGACAGACCAAGATCTGGTGGGGAAGGTCCTGTGTGCTTTCCAAACCCTCAAGAGATAGTTCATGGTCAACTCAATTGTACCATGTTAACTGTGCCTTCTGAATAAACATCCCTACCAGATAGTATTGATTTGATTGAAATTATGAAGGCAGACTCAAAGGAAAATGTTGCTAAGGAGAAAGAGGAACACTTATAAGAAGATTTTAGGCATATTAGAATTGGTTTTCGGTTTAATTGTTTTGTATAGAGGGGGCATCTAAAACCTCCCTGCTTTGATACCAGCTCTAACATTCCTGCCAGCACCTACTGCAAGCTCTAGCACGTAGTAGAGCCTGCTAAATGCATAAACACAACCACCTGTTCCACTCCCTTTCAGGTTGCTGACAGTCATGGAGTCTCCTTTCTTTTTCTCAATAAAACACAAGAAATAGCAATGTCTCCCCTTTCACAATGAGTTAATGGGACGATAAAGGGAAGATGTAAAAGTGTAGTTCAACTCTAACATGTTATATTTTTCTTACAAAACGAATAGTATCCCAAAAAGAAATGAGCTGATGACTATCACTCCCAGGCTCCACCCATTCCCCCGTTCATCTCACTTTCTGCAAGATCTCTCTGTCATTCAGTAGTTCACAGAAGACCATGGCGACCAGTCCAGAATTCACCCCCCACCCAGGAAGGTTCAAACACCTCTTAGAGGCCTTCCTCACCTCATTACAGCATGGTATGGCAAGCCAGCTCCTCCAGCTTCCGATTTAGTTTAAGAGAATTTGGTTTTGTTTGTTTGTTTATACCATCATTTTCCTAAATGACTAAAGCATTAGTGTAGGCTCAGGAAGCCAGCTGAACATTAGAACCATCTGACACAATAAAACACAGCTTTAATAAGTAGCATTAGAGGCTAC